AATACATTATATTTTGCATTTCAGTGTTACTTTACTAAATATATTTTCATATTTAACTGTTCCATTAAAAAGTTCTAAATATAGGTATTAGTTTATAATGTATATCCGTTCACCTTACATGAACAAAATTTCAGTTTCTTTAATCAATAAAAATGCTAAATATTTAGGGTTGAATTGTTGAAATTCTTGTTTATTACAGATAATTATTTACAGAGAATATGCAATGTGAACATGAGCCAGTTTTCCTTAAGAAGTCCTTCTTGGAGGAATCCCCTCACCTTACGCAGATGGTCGTTGTATGATTTGGCATATTCAACTAACCAAACTAACCATTACTTGAAGGTAAAAATACTTTATTAAAAGACATGCTGACCACACAGATTATGAAAGAGATTTACTATTTATTTATTTATATTAACATTGAAATCATAGTTTGTTTCTTTTCTCACATAAACAAATTAACAGCTGAAGATGATGGTTCGGTAAAACCATCGAAACTAGTCCTGTGAAAATTTTGTAAATATAACGCTGATTTTTGTTGTTTGACTTCTGAATTAGTAAATTAACATTCGTTACAAAATGCTAATATACAAAATTGGAAATATGAAAGTGTAATTTATTTTTTACCAAAATTTTACGCATTTCTTAAGATGAATTTATTTTTTAACATGACTGCATATTTAAATATCAAATTAAAATAAAGAAAATGTACTACACGGAATGATATTTAATGTCGGATATCATTTCACTTTACAAAATGAGGGCAAATATGATACAAACTAGATAGCAGCAGCAAGTTTGCAAAATTTAAAATGCAATTGAAAAAAAGTCATAGCTAACATGCTCCATTACCCCCCCCCAAATATATATATATATACAGCAGAAATGAAATGGATTTTCATATATGCAAATGTACTGCATCAAAAGACCAATTGATGAAAAAAGAAAATTAGCACAAAAGTATACTAATACGAGATTTAAAAATTTAATTTTACCTTAATTTTAATTTACCTTGAGTCTTTTCTAAATATTTATTCAGTAAATATTACTTAATATCATTTTAATAAATACTTGAGCAATTACAGTTTGTTTGATAATGATGTAGCAGCAGCAAAGATATCCACATCAAGAGCGGTTTTAAAAATCAAATATTAATATTAAATATCTAATTCAATCAAATTAACTATAGTAGCAATTTGTAGCATAATTCATGATATTGTATTAGTGTTTCAAAAGTAAAAGTTTTGACTATGAAAACAAATAAAAGACAGAAAAAACTATTCAAATCATTCCATTCATTTTCACCTTATTTTTAATAAATTAAGATATTTTCAAGTAACAAATGCCCCCCCCGGCTCATTAAATAATCATTAGCCAAATACCATAAACTGAAATGCCTAAAAACTGATATATACTTCATGAGTTTCTGACTGAAAGATGCTCTGTAAGACTTTTTAAAACCTTGATGATAAGGCAGAACTGCAAAAAACTGGACTCTACAAATATGCAGTATTCTGTAAGCACTGAAAACTATACTTCCTGTGAAATGATCAACCTGGCACATTGATGTTACAATTAGTTAGAAGAGTCTAAACCATCGATTATAATACTAATTGGCTCCATATACAGGTGCTTCTACCTTCTCGAAACAAGTACTAAGCAGACCAGACTACCATTATAGTATATATAGTCCCAAGCATCACCGAGCATTTGAACCATCAAGCCAGAGCAAGCTGTGATGCAAAAGTGCTCTAATCAAACTTCTGCTGCTACAGCCCATACAATGAGAGGAATATTCCATATGCTGACGTTTACTGAGATCCTAAGCACTGAATTCTGATATACTTTGTTATAGTGTTGTAAATTTAGAAAGAGAAATATAATTCTTGCATACTGATGCTGATCATGTTGAGTCTTTTTACAGCCACTATCTTACCAAATTCAAAATTTTGTCAGAATTCTTGCAACCACAGTACTCTCAAAATGATTATATACGGAAATCCAAATTTCATCTCTACTTCGAAAATACTATGACCTTTCTTCTTCAGGATCTTTATATAGTATCAGACTATATTAAAATTGTTTAATTCATAAATACTTATTATCTTTAAAGCAGAACAACTGCTTTCTATAAATGTCTGTCATTTTACATATGTACTAGTGGACTAATAAATTATTATGTGTTCTGCATAAGCACTCATTTGTACCAGTTTTCTTTTAGTACTTTAGCATATCTTACATTGATATGGAAACCATTAATTTCTCTTTGCTTTGAACACCTTTTAGAGTGATAAGAATATTATCAATGTTTTCTAATTCCTCTTAGATTTTTTAACTTTCTTACTTTGCACAGGTGAAAGCAATTAAATTATTGTACAAATTTTTGTTGAATATCACACTTGGAAGTTAATATAATCTATATTTACAAACAGATATACTAATTTATTTTATAAAATTTCAAGATATACTTGGAAGTTAATCAAATCTTTAATATTTCATGTATTACTCAGAGATGTAGAAGTTTATGTTATAAAACTCCAAAAATCTTTAATTTTGTAAACCAAATAAAACATACATATACATTAAGACACAATAACACGACGAATAAATACTAATTCAGAAGTCAAACAACAAAAATCAGCGTTTGTAAATATAACGCTGATTTTTGTTGTTTGACTTCTGAATTAATACATATACACATTTATATGTGCATAAATACACACATGAAAAAAACTGGGCCCAAATTAATGATTCAGTTTAACATGCACAGAAATCACTGAAATATTTTTTAAATTCACAGAACAGTGGATAAATTAATGAAATAAGATCTTTTTTCTTTCACACTTACCCACATTCTTCCTACATTTTATTCATTTACACAGTGTGGAAAGGAGAAAGATGATTTCTGAAGTTAGAAAGGTAAAGTTACTTCTGATTAGGGAATCAGTTTTTCCCCAAGTATCTATCATACATTCTATATTACTTTTCATACTAATAAACACACCTAGTTAAAGTATTGCGATGCATGGCTAACTTTATTCACTTTACTAAATGAAATTTTAGAAAATTATCCCTAGACATATATTGTAAAATGCATTAAAAGTTACAAAGTATGATTAACTTTATTCACTCTCACAGCGAGTGAAAATTTAATAGATTTTCCACACTTGTATATTGTAAAATATATTAAACCTAATAATGATGATACAACAGTGACATTAAAATCTTGATTTCCTTCTCTTCCTTTCACAATTACAAAAATTTAGTCTCAAATTGATAATTGAGTAGAGATGAAAGAAAGCAGACCAGAGTATGAGAATTATGAAATACATACCATTTACATTCATAATTATGCCCATACTTTGTATCCAGAAAATTCCAATGCTAGTTTCCCAGTGTGGACATATTTGGTCATACTGTTTCTAAGTTTCATACATTGCAATTATGCTTCCACATTAAGCCTGTAATAATTCTTGAAGATCAAGATACGTGTTTTAAAAGAAAAATGAAAATTATTAAATGCCTTAAATCGAGCAAATTCGCAATTTCTATATATACGTATAACCACACAACTTTGAGTCTTAAAAATAAGCAGAAAGCACATGCATTCTGCTGCAGTTTGAACATCACGGTCAAAAGATCTGATATGCATATCAAAATTTTTACACCAGAAATATTTTTATTTTATGGATATAATGTTACAAGTTAGCTATATGCCAATTCTGAAACCTGCCAGTGTTTTCTAGAGTACGAATTCTATAGAATTCTCTGGATAAGATCACCTTTTTGAATACTGCAATCAAATTAATCAATATTTTTCACAACAATCTGCACAGAAATCGTTGTCACTTGATCTTTCAACCACAAAAACCTTCTCAAAACTGATATTTTATTTTTTGTTACTTACAACTGTAAACTTCTGGGCTCTTCAATTTGAGTATAAGCCCTGAATATATCATTCTCAAGTTTAAAATGAAATATTTCTCAATTTTTGTTGTAGATGACTTTTTGCATTTTATTTCTTTAAATAAATACAAAATGTTCCTAACTATAACTATATGGACCGAGAGAATGTATAAAAAAAAATCAAGAAACTTCTTTTAAAAAACTGACATTTTTTAATTTGCAAATCCAAAACAAGAACATATGCATCAATTAGAACATTTTTGTAATTGGAAGCATATGTTTACAATGAACAGTCTCAAAAAGAAAAGAAAAGGATAAAATATAAGGAATAATAAATCAAAAATAAAAGTAAAAGGAATCAGGTAAGGACTTTTGTAAGGTTGAGGAATCTAAATACCTTGGCACTATAATTAATGACAAAAATAAGAGCTGAAGCTGATAATAGAATTAAAATGGCTTATAAATGCTTCTTTGGGCTAAGAAGACAATTAGGATCTAATCTTATAAGTCCCAAAACAAAACTACAAATTTATAACACACTAATACTACTAGTTTCATTTTATGCAAGTGAAACATGGCTTAAAATAAAGACATACAATGCTCACTGGACATGTTTAAGAGAAAAATCCTCATAGCATTTTTTGGTCCAGTACAGGAAAGGGGACGTCTGAGAGCAAGATATAACTTTGAGCTGTACAGGCTTTATAGGCAACTACAAATAACATAAGTCATCTGTAGTAATAGATTAAGATGACTGAGCCATGTTTGGAAAAGTCTGGAAGATAATCCCACTAAAATCTTGACATAAAAAAAAAAAAAAAAAAAAAACTGAGGAATCCCGAGCTAATGAAAGACCACAACTAGATGGTTAGATGGCACTGAAAAAGTCTTAAAAACTTTGAAATTTAAAAATTGGAGAGGAGTCGCTGCAGACAGAAGAGGCTGGAAAGTGTGCATGGTTAAGGCAGCCAAGGCCTGTAAGACATTGTTGTGCTTGTGAAGAATAAGAAAGACTTATGTGAACTTGGTATGTATTTCAAAAACACATAATTATGAAAACACGCGGTTTATCAAACAAAAATGAAACACAGATATAAAAAATTCCATAATTTTATTCAATAACACAATAAAATATATTATCTAAAAATGCAACAGTTTCATCTACAAGTATCAACTATACAAAGTGTGTCTAGTATGATATTATGAAGCTCAATTGTCAGGAAATTTCGTAACTGCTTTGTGAAAAGCCTTAGCAACATATTCCACATTATGCGAATTCAGTCCACAAATACTGATTCTTCCATCTTTCGGAAGATAAATGTGTTTCTCTCCAACCAAGAATTGTACTTGTTGAGCTATAATAAAAAGAAAAACTATTCATGTATCACAAATGGAAAAATATGAAATATTTTACACTGTACTAATTCAGAAGTCAAACAACAAAAATCAGCACTTTATTTTCAAATTTTCACAGGACTCATTTTAATGGTTTTACCGAACCATCATCCTCGGCTGCAAAAGCGCAAATTGCTGGAATAATTTGCGCTTTTGCATATATATCAAAAAATTGAAAGAAGTTTTAATAGAAATGCAGTTTTTGATCGCCTATATACAGGATAATGTACATACTTTTCAAATTACCTATTTGCATGATTCCTTTTTTTTTTTAAATAAATTTTGTATTTATGTAAAGAGTTAATTTTCTGACATATTTAAATAAACATATCTGATAAAGAGTGAATCGCAGTGAATGAAATGGTAAATAGAATTTTTCTACATACTGTTTCCATAAACAAAAAATGCTACTTGCTTTCAAAAGTTTCACATAAATGCTTTGTATTTTCTTGATTCATTTGAAATACTTCAGAAATGAAATAAATAACATGAAAATTAAAAATATTTTTCTAAATGAGTGAAAAAATAATAAAATCACCCCATTTCTAATGCAAGAAAATTATTACAGCACATATTGTTAAAGAATAATACAGTAGATGCTGTTTAATATGATTTGCAGTTAATAGTACTTTTCGGATATTGTCACTGAACTGTCAAAGTCCCGCCTGTCTGTATATGAAAACATGGAAAATACATCATTTATTGTGATCAACAATTCAATTAATGTAATCAAAATATTATCAAAAGAATTTTTAAAATTGAAATAATAGATAAATCAAATAAAAGATAAAATCACTGGACAAGGTCAAAATACAGTACAGAAATTCTCAAATGCCACCGAGTAAAGAATCAAGTCACTGACAATCTTTGTTTTGATTTCAGGAAACATTTAGTCTTGGAATCTTGTCTCAGAAAAGATAATAAAGAACTATTTTTAAACATGATAGTCTTTTAATAAATGATGAAATAAAGCAAGTCGAATAATTCAAGTAGCAGTATAAATGACAGAAGAAAATAATCTGCCTGTTGCCTTCTGAAACTGATTTCCAGAGAACATTATGAATACAAACAGTTTATTTTAATGAACTTTTGTGTAATGATTCCAGATAATTAATAACTGATTTTTTCCCCTGATTAAAATACTTTGAAAGTACATGCTTATATGTTTCTAATTACATAAAGTTCACTGTTAGTTTGAAGAATATTTTTCTCATCTCCTAATATTATCAAAATACTCATGGACAATTAAGATCACAGTAACTGGCATCTGGTGTATTAAAATTTACTTTTGTAATTTGAATTTCACTTTTGAAGAATTTTAGATGTATTTATCAATTACATTTTTTAACATTTTAACATTTAACTTTTGCTTTAAAAACTTAATTGCAAAAAAATATATATAAGACTACTTTAATATATACACTGTTAAAAAATTAAGAATTATTAATCTCTTCAGACGTATATATGGTAGCTCCCAATATAACTACACATTTATAAAAAAAAAAAAAAAAAAATGTATACACAGGGTATTTAATCCTATTTACAATATCTTCAGAACTATGTTATTATCCATTAATACATATTGTAGAGAAATTTAAGAAATGTGGAAATTTGCATTTGTTAGAATATAAGGAAAATATCTCAAAAAACAGATCTAGTAAGCCTAAAATATCAATCAAAACTTCCTTACTGCTTAACCACTGGTTAAATAATTATGACACATTAAAATTATAATTTATTTGTAATCATAATATAATTATAGAATTATTTTTGTTCAGAACCTCCAAAAAAATTAAAAGAATTTTAAGAAACATTTATAATTCATTCAAAGTATATGAACTGAGGAGATAAATATGAAATCCAAAAGAGCACACTTACGATTAAGGCCAGTATATGAAAACATTCCAATTTGATTTGTAATATGGTCCCAATTTCCTGGTGTACCCAGTTCATCCAGTTTTTGCTTCAAGGCTGCTCGCATTTTAATGATTCTTCCAGACATTTCCTTTATGTGATCTTGCCTATAATGTTTATATGTAGATTTTAAAACTTATTTTACATCACTCATCATTCTTAAAAATGCATTGTATGTTCTTTAGCCACCAATTAAAGAAATGGCCAATATTTCTGAAATCTTAAATAAATATCAGCATCAAACATTACTTCTATAAGATAACCACCTCTATATAAGAACCAAACTCATCTAGAACCATGGTTGGTAACAATTTTTAAAAGGTTCATTTAATTTCATTTTGAGTATAATTTACTTATAATGGAAAAATTATAAATGCATTAAACTGTTATAAATGCATAAAACATTTGTTACATCATTTTTTCCAATTCATTTGGAAATTAAACAAAACAGAAATTCATTACAATGTTGTATTTCATCTCGATGTACTCCTTCTTTGATATTATGATTTAAATCAAATTCCTCGTCATTATAAATATCACGAATACAAATCAAATAGTTTTCTGGTTGCAATTTTCTAATTTCGGCTATGCGTAATGTATGCTTTACGCATGCCCGCGTTGAAAGAAACGTTTAATAAAGTAAACAAATAAATATTAAGCTTCTTTTTTGTAAATTTTGATACCCTTTAGATCATAATTGCTCATTATTTTATAAATTATGGTTTAATATTTTTAATTTTATAATTTCTGCATGCCATCTTACCAGATTTAAACTGATGATCTATAATCCAGAAAAATTGATAATCCGGAATCGCCGAAGTCCCGACGAGTCCGGATTAAAGACTTTTGACTGTACTACATTTAGTAAGGAATTATAAGCCAAATAAAATAAAAACATCTGTCCTGAAGATGAGGACAGTGCTGACAGATCAACTTCCAGTTCATTGCGCACCGCAACGTTAATGCGTAAACGCATTATGCGTTTATGCATGCTCAGAAAGTTTTGTAGCTTTGAGGTCCGGATTATGGACATCTGGATTAAAGACTTTTGACTGTATTTTGTAAAGCAGGGAATACCTGTATTTAAAAGACTACAACTATTATTTTAGTTGTGTTAATGTACTTAAATAACCTACATATTTACCATTCTGCAAAAAGAGCTGGGTTATTCAGCACAGTCGATACAATACGAGCACCATGACAAGGAGGATTTGAGTAATTGCCTCTTACTAGAAGAGTAATTTGTGCACGAGAGTTAACTATTGCAGCAGGATCTTTAAAAACAATTGTCAAATTTCCAATTCTTTCATCTGTAAATAAATAACCACAAATTTTTTATGAATATTCATCATAATGATTCAAATTATCCATCTTTTGCTTTAAAAACTTAATTGCAAAAAAAAATATATAAGACTACTTTAACATATACACTGTTAAAAAATTAAGAATTATTAATCTCTTCAGACGTATATATGGTAGCTCCCCATATAACTACACATTTACAAAAAAAAAAAAAAAAGTATACACAGGGTATTTAATCCTATTTACAATATCTTCAGAACTATGTTATTATCCATTAATACACATTTCAGTAAAACTATACATAAGCAAAGACTTCTTTTATTGAATGCATGGTGATAGCAATTGCTGTTATACTGCAGATGACCAATAAATATTTTAAGACATAACACTGCTTGAATAATTATATTTTAATACTGATGGCATTATGTGTTGCACTTTCCTTGTAAATAATCCAATATCTAAAGCTTACATAAAAATATATATTCTAAAATTTAAGCAAGATAAAATTTATGCCCTTACATCTGAATTATACATACTCAAATCTAAAACAATTTTGACCATTTACTTATATTAAGTCTAAATTTTAAAATACTCGAAATCTCATTTAATCAGCTCATGCTATTTCAAAGAAACTCATATTTCATGAATTTTTTAACTACTTGCGCTAAAAAGATGTGCCACGCACGTCACGATGCTTTTGTCTCAAACCGTGAGCGACGTGAACACCACGTCAATAGGCATTTATCGCAAAAATGAAAATAACGTGGTGAACACGTTGCCTAACAACGAAATTGTTTATTTTTCGAGTTACTGCTCCGGATTACACTCGCAGACGCAGAGCGGCGTAAATGAGACACTTTACCGCTTGTTATATTGTAGTGCACGGCACCGCAGCCATGAAGTTTAGTCGTAGCATGAGTGGTTAACATTACTGTATCAAAAATTAATCAGATTTATATTTTCTATTCTGTTTATTCTGCATTAATATTAGATGCAGCAGCAGTTCACCTGTAACAAGCATCTCTAAGGCATCATTTTAACCACTTACCAATGAAATAGTTGACTTATTTTAAACAAACTAAAATCTGCAATAATTTCTTATTTCTAATGCTCATTTTTTTGCCTTATTACCTGAATAAAAGCCCTAAAACACAGCTTTTACAAGAGCAATTTTAAATAAAAAGAACAGGATAATACTTTTGCGGTAGTTTTGAATTTCTGTGATCACTTTTGTAAATTTTAGATGTTTTTCAAGATTCCACAACTATTACATTTCTCCTCAAAAGTGAAATAAATCCATTAATTCAAACTTTTTCCTCACTATTTTATAATTTCCATCTTTTTCAGGATTTTTTACTACTTATTTTAATATTTTTCCATCCAAACATGCGCACCTCAGTGCCCAAGTTTTGAATTTCGTTTTTATTTATTTCATATTTTATGTGAATTTTCTGAATTTTTTATCATCAAACTCAATGATTTAAAGATTTGTGTTGCCACTTGCCAAAGTGAAAAATCTTTCACATTTAATCAACAAGCTCAGTAATTTAGCAGAAATGTTTTCATTGCATAATATATTTTTATCTTCCATGACCTAGTGTGCTGTCACTCAGCAAAGCGTAAGTTATTTTTCTTACATTATACTAAATTTAATCTGTTTTATTGATCAACAAATTAAACAATATAAAAACAATAGATGCAATTCTTTATCTCTACTATGATATGAATGGGATTGAGGAAAATACCCTAGCTGGACTCATCAAAATTGATTACACATTTTCTTTCTTTTTTATAATAACTAGTTTGGGTAGCTGGCCATGCAAGTGGTTAGCCATTTTAAAGGACCAAATTCACAAATTACTGCTATAGTCAAAATTATATTGGTGGTTTGGCACAAAAAAGCACTAAAAAGAAAAAAATTATTAGATATTGCTAGTTAATTTTGAGGATAAAGAACATAGCTGAAAGCAACAATGTATCATATGAACAAAATATCTATTGCTTTGTTCTCTTTACAAAGCAACAAACACCGGAACAAATATGAAAAACAGCCCATACAAAGTATAACACTTCAAAAACAACCATCACTTAAATGAAAATCTTGATTTCATAAACTGACTAGTTCAAATCTGGTTAGATTGGTTAAGAAACTGCTTAGACTGGTTAATAAATATATCAATTAAAAAATATATAAATTTTTAAATGATTTTATTATTTATGTAAACAAATTTGAAAACGTGAAAAAAAGAAATCCTTGGCTACAAAAAGACTTTGTAAATATTACTAAATTTTCAAGATTTGCTCTGTGAATTTTGCAACTCTTTCCAAAATAAAACTAGAATATTTGATGAAAATGTGAATGAAGAGATGAGATAAATACGATATATTGCTATCACTCTGCAGGAGGGTGAACAGGATATATAATATCAATTATACTTTAAAACATTACTTAGGCTCGGACATTTTAAAGTGAAAACATTAGGTTCTGAATTCCCCCCCCAATGAGTTAAACTACAGTTCCTTATACAGTTGCAACGAGGCTCCTAAATGGCAAAAAATAAAAAGTTGAGTCTTAAAATCTTTCTAAGACACCTAAACAAACTTAGATTCCAAAACACTAGATAATTTCATATTTTCTTCTGTTTAAGAAAATCTTTACAGCAAAAATATTTTCAAGAACAGTTGTACAGTAATTTTTACACTAAATTTAAAATTTAATCTTCATTCTGAAAAGATGGAATGCTGCATGAGAGATGTAAAACAGTATAGACTGAATGAGCTGAATAGACTATGAAATAAAAGAATTCAATAAATAATCCAAACCTATATTTGCATAATTAATGGTATGAGAAATTTTCTCGAAACTGAATTACTTTAAATAATTTAAGATGCATGCTTCAAGATAAACTGAAAATTTATCAAAATAATTTCTCCAAAGTATTACAATAAATATTTTCTCTCCTCCCTTTAAAAATTGTATAACTGAATAAAGCAAAAATATCAAAATATAACTAATTTAACAAACTATATTCTTAATGTAAAGAGAAATTTGACATATTAAAATTCTGATTCCATTCCCAGTTCGTCCAAAGGATCATAGAATGCATGCATATCTATATAACTTACTATATAAGCCAAAATTTTTGGCAAATGACTGAGCACAAAGAAGTTCAAATCCTCGGCTTACAAAATAACGAACAGCCCAGCTGTCTTTTACCAGATCACCAGATGCAAAACCTTGATAAGCACAATCAAAGAATGGAAACAATTTCTTTCTCTGAAAATAAAATTTTTTATTACATTTCTCATAGCTCTTTTACTACTATTTTTGTATTCAAATATGGTACTGTTCTGTTATCGGGACCAGATTCAGAAATGTATGAATGTATGAGCATGTGTTTGTTATGCATGTGCATATATGTGTGTATATGTATAAACACATGTACATACATTAGTACTGACATATATACAAGCAATACATGAACGTAATACAGTCAAAAGTCGTTAACTCGGACACCCATAATCCGGACCTCAAAGCTAAAAACTTTCTGCGCATGCGCCGCATCGACACATGCGCATAGGGGTTTACGTGTGCGTGTAAGACCTTTTACGAGCGCATATGCGGTGCGCAAGGGCAGACGTTTTGCGTGGCGTTTTATGTTAAGGCGGTATAAGCTAAAATTATCAATTTCTTATTTCAGTTAATGTTGATGATGAATGTTCTTATTCGAATTGGATCGGCTTATTATTTTTTGCGACTGTAAGAGCAATATTAACAGTACTTGAACTTTCGATTATGCAAATAGAATTCGATTCTGGAGTCCCAAGGATCGTACAAACGAAAGTATGTTTCGATTGTCCATCAAACAAAAAGGGATGGCTGCAAAAAAGGATAACGACATGAAGAAGGTGACGAGAGGGTAGTGAAAACGAAAAAATTCGATGACAAGATGTCGGTATTCTCGGCACAGAATAACGGGACTTGAACCGGAACACTTTGTCGATTGTATTGTTTTATGAATTAAACATATTACCATTGAAACGAATCTTAAACAACTTATTGAAAATGTTTAATAAATTGAAACCAAATAATATTAAGCGGTTTTTCGTTTTTGTAAATTTTGATACCCTTTAATTATATTGTTCTTATTATAAATTAGGTTTCAATTTTAAATTTCGAATTTCTGATGCCATCTTACGAGATTTAAACTGATGATCTATAATCCGGAATCGCCGAAGTCCCGACGAGTCCGGATTAACGACTTTTGACTGTACATGCATATATACTTACATTTCTGAACCAGATCATGATAACAGAACAGTACCTCAAATACATCAAATTCTTAAATAAATGCAATCTAAAAGAATTACATATCTAGAAAAAATTCCTCATAACAGCGATACCCAAATGGCACCTATAGGATTCATGCAGGCCACAGCATGATTACAGAGATTTGTTATTATTAAATGCAAGGCATAATAATGTCTTATAAAAAGCAATTAAATGCAAAGGACAATCAGCATCAAAGTAATGTATATTTTTCTAGCATACTTTTTTGCTGTTCTTAAATAATATAAAGAAAAAACCTCTTATGGTACTTCCAAAATTTATATTTAAATAACTAAAAATCTATGCAATTCTATAAATGACAAATTTGATACCTTTATTAAAAATTCTAATACACTTAATGGAAATTAGTTTAAAAATCTGCATATCATTATTAGATAAAGGAAGCAAAACAACATTTTATTTGAGAAATTAATCATATGAATAGAAAAGTGCCATGAGAAACAAAGTTGCTAGAAGAAATTCTTGATAAGACACTGGAATATTTATCACTACACTTGAAAAAAAGACTGGACATTGTTGATACGGAACTGTTATGCTGTCAACTGCTAAGATAAAAGTTTAAGATAACACTTTCCAAATGAACAACTTTTAAAACATATGAATTATACTTTACATACCACATTTACAATATATATATGCTAGAAAAATACATTAGCCCCCTAGAAAGCTTTAAATTTTTATTTACTGATGATAAAAATTTGATTTACATGGACAAAATAGTTTGGCAGAAGGTTCACACATACACATCTAATGAGCAGTCATATATGCATGCTTCTGGTAATGCTTTCAATACAGTTTCTGATCAAAGAACTTCAATATATCAATTTAGTTATCATAAAAATGAATTTACCTACTTAAAAGTAGAATCTGCTTACATATTAAATTCTGTATGCTAATAAATCCACCTTTTTAATGTGCAATGCATTTATTCATGAAACTATATAAAACATTAGCAAAAACAAAATATTGACAGCATTTATACTTCCATAACCTCTAGAAGGAAAAAAACTATGAGGTTATCCTACCCAGAACACTTGCCAATAGAATAATTTAGGAAATTTTCAACACAGTTCCCTAAAATGTTTACAAAGCTGGATTAAATACAATCAAGAAAAAGAATTAACTGAGCAAAAAGGTGAGCAGAAAACTTTATCTTTATGACACATGCCTAAATATACAAGGTATCAGAGAATTCATGCATAGAACACACAAAGGTATCACGGTAAAAAAAAGTATTTTATGAATATATAGTGAGAAACAGAGATAATGAACTAATTTAAGGCTGAGTAGCATTTGTGAAAATATGCTATGGAAACTCGTATTAACTCAAACAAATAAAAAAAAAGATGACAGTTGTGAGGAAGATATGTGATGCTTTGTTTTTTCGATAAACATATCTTTTGAGAAGCAAATGTATTATGCAACAAATGGAGTGCAGGCTGTGATAGAATGATCTGTATAAAAGCAGACAGCTCAAAGTTGGAAGCCAAGATGGTAATGTCAGTCAACAGAAATGCAACATCTTGCAATTTAAATGAAAAATATGTAAATTTATTTGCAGACTGATAAATTGTATTCACACAGGCTAGAACACATACTAACCCATACCTGCTAAACAAAAACGAGATTTCAGGGGAAAATTAAGAATTTTGAATACAGTCAAAAGTCGTTAATTTGGACACCCATAATCCGGACCTAAAAGCTACAAACTTTCTGCGAATGCATCGCGTTCACGCATGCGCACAGGTTTTTACGGAGAGCGTAAGACCTTACGGCTGCGAATATGTTTGTGGCATGCCGTTTAATGTGTAACGGTATTTAAACAAAAAATTATCTATTCAGTTATGTTGCAGATGCTTGTTCCTTACTCTTTCGAATGGAGGCGGCTTATTTTTTGAACTGTTAGAGCAATTTCATAAAGTAACTTGAACTTTCGATTATGTCAAAAGAATTTTCCGATATATTACTAATATGTAATTGTACTACAAAGCGAAAGTATTTTGAACTCCGAAATCTGTTTATCAATTTCACGCGGGATTGGAAGTTGATCTGTCAGCACTATCCTTATCTTCAGGGCAGATGTTTTTATTTTATTTGGCTTATAATTCCTTACTAATGTAGTATTTTCATCTCGATGTACTCCTTCTTTGATATGATTTAAATCAAGTTCCTCGTCATTATAATTCGCTTCCGATAGTGAAGAAAGTGACAGAGGTTATTGAAAACGAAAAATTTCGATTGACAATTAGTCGGTATTCTCAACACAGCATTATAGGACTTGAACAGCGGAACTTTGTAACTGAAACAAGAAATTATGTCTGTTTATAGAATTAAAGAGAAGTATTATCACATAAAAACTTAAACAACTTACATTGAAAGAAATGTTTAATAAAGTAAACAAATAAATATTAAGCTTTTTTTTTTTTTTTTGTAAATTTTGATACCCTTTAGATCATAATTGTTCTTTATTTCATAAATTACGGTTTCATATTTTATTTTGTAATTTCTGCTCCATTACAGATTAAACTGATGATCTATAATCCAGAATCGCCGAAGTCCCGACGAGTCCGGATTAACAACTTTTGACTGTACTAAATCTGAAATTCACAGATAAAACTTTTCCTGTAGCCCTTTTAAGAAAACTGAAGCTGCTCAACTGGTACAGCGGTTAGCATCGCTGACTGCTGTGCCAAAGGCCCCGAGTTTGAATCCTGGAAAAGGTATGTCGATGTTTGTAAATGCATAGTGCCGGTGTGCCATGGCGACACTCTAAATATATGGCGAGCCAAAAGTCCTCTTGTGTGGTTCGGTGAGAGACACTCGGGCTGTCCCATCGGAGAGCGCTCCATCAAAATTGGGGGTGGAACTGAACTAAATTGCACTGTCACCTGTATGGCCAACGACAAGCATATCTTGCACTCTATGCCACAACAATTTTCATGGGCTTGGGCTGATGTAACTGTTCAGACAAGTGAGCATAAGTAACAACAGAAAACTGAAAATTCAAACAAATGAAATTTGTTTCGCGGCTTTTACTGCTTGGCCATTGGTGAGCATATGAGTGTATGAAAAATCTAAAACTGGATTTTGAATTGTTAAAATATGAATTATGGCTATGTGAATTTAATAATGATCACAATTTATGGAACAGAAAGTAAAAAGTCTACCAAAATCATAGGATTACCTCCATTAAATCAGCAATTTGTTTCCACTGCTCCTGTGTAGGATCAACACCAGTAGGATTGTGAGCACAAGCATGAAGTATAATAGCAGAATCTTCTGGAGCATTCTATTTCAAAAATATTCAAAAATATTTGATAAGTGTCTTCGGAAATAAATACTCAAATTTCATTCATATTTATTTAATGCATCTACAGTAATTAAGATACAATAACAAGGCGAAAAATATTAATTTAGAAGTCAAACAACAAAAATCAGCGTTACATTTTC